ATTTTGACGCAGCAACGGGAGGGATCAGGACAAAAGCAGCATCAGCCGCAGTCGAAGAAGGGGCGGGAGCCGAGGACGTGGTAGCTTTCCTCTTCCAGAATGAGGATGCGGGAGCTTTCGACCTCCTCGAAGATCCCCTGGCCAAAACTAAGAAAAACACAAGGAAAGGGAAAAGTCAGCAAAGGTAAACAAAAAAACTAAGACACCGATGGTAAAAGGGACTTACATGTCGAAGGGAGAGCAGGCCCAAACTTCTTGAAGAAACTTGGCCACTCACAAATCCCTGCGATGTGAGGGAGGAGCCGATCAACCTAGTCAGAAATATGAGCGAGCGAAGGAGGAGGCGAGGTCTTAGTTGCATGAGAAGAGGACAAGAGGCCAAATCCCACGACTAAGTACAGTAGAAAAATCAGATATCTACAAGCAAGGATATTAGGTACTTACGAGCATAATTCCAAGCCTCGGTAAAACCATCGACATTGGCCACCACGTCATCGGTTCTAATTAAAAAGAAGTTGAACCAGAATTGGCGGTTGGCTTTGTTGTCCATCTTCACCACCAAGCACTTGCCCCCTCGGTGACGAAGATTCAACATCATTCCCCTATAAAGCTAGGGGCGAATATATGTATTAAGCGCCGAAGTGTCAACTCGACCCCGGCTAGATCGACAAATTTGGTAAGCAACTTTATAAGTTCATAAATGTACGACGTGAGCTGAGCTAGGGAAACACCGTAATAACGACAGAATTCCCATGTCAACGGAAGGAGAGGGAGAGAGTAGCCGACTTAACAGTGGCAGGAATACTCTCCTCATGGGAGGGAAACACCACTGCCAAGGGGGCCACATGACTTCCCTCACTAGACTTAGAATGCATGTTAGACATAGTTTGATATAGGAAGGAGAGGTATCAAACGATGAAGAGCTAAGAACAATACAAATCACTAGAACGGAGAGGAGAAGTTCGAAGCAGGAAGAGAGCAAGAGAAAACTATGGGATTTCAAAACAACAGAAAACTTAAACCTTAATATCGCGTCCAAATACCTATATTTATAAAGGTTTTGGCACCAAAACCAAAAATGGCTCATTATTACTGGCACCGGAACCGAAGGGGCAGGTCTAATCAGAGGTCACGCGCGAAACGAGGCAACACATTGGGAATATGCGTCATAATGATGCATGACATCATGACGTCATCCTAACTCGTGGACATCATAATTCCAGCAAATCGTCCGGGAAAATCAAAGCATTTGAAATGTGTGGCCCATGTAGGGCCACGCTTCCAGTTCGCCGCAACCACCACAACCCACATAGCTCGCTCGATTGTTTCGACCACAACTAACAAAATCCGCTCATCGAACCCGCCTGAAGCCGGCCTCAATAAGCGGAGGGACTAACTGTGTGGGTCAAAATCTATATTTAGAATATTTATGCCAAGATAGTACTAGGGTAAGAGTTCCCAAGTCGTCATTTGTCGAAATGGCCCAAGAAGTGAAAGTCTGTGGTCGAAAAGTCAGCAAGGGACGAGGTCGAGGAGTCAACAAGGGTCGAGGCTGAGGTCGAGTACTTTTGACGGAATTATAACGGCTACTTTTAAGATAGGATATTACAGAGAATATTCTAGTAGATATTTTCTGCACTTATACTATTAGGGTTTTTTAGGAGCATGTTCCCTATAAATAGAAAAAGCCACTATGATAGGGGACACGTGATATTCACTTGTAAAAAACACACTTTGACTTGAGAAAGAGAATCGGATCTCATTTGCTAAGACACAAACATCATCTTTTCGCTGAGATTCTTGTCTAAAATTTTTAACTGATTCGAGAATAACTCAAATATTCAAGGGACTGCCTATCATTCTTCATTGTCAGAAAGAACATCCACTTATTTCATCCTTTCTTGGGTGACTCATTCATTCTATTTACTTAAATATTATTTATTGCTATTCATTGATATTGAATGCTAAATTGTTGCCTCTGATTTCTAGAATATTTATTGTATGCCACTGCCATTGTCCGACGGTACCGCTATAGTATATGTTGCTTCTTTAAGAATTCCATCTAGGGATATTATTGTTAGCTAAGATTAACCCTTATTTACATATATTTAATTATTTGAACCAAAGATCTATATTTTTTGGTCAAACAATTGTTAAGGACAGAAGTTATGTTTTCGGTAAGGGTTAATAGATACTGTATGGGATTTGGCCAGCATTTTATTGGGAATTAGCGGGCAATCAAACTTTTTTTACTTTGCTTCTGATTAATATTCGAATCATGGCTAGTGGTAAAATCAAAACCTTCGTTAAGATTATTCAAAATTTAATATATATGTATAAAAAAGTAATATCTAACCTACATACACCATATAATTTTATGTCGAAGAACATTCAACTGACCATCTTTTGCTGGCGGTAGGGGTATTCATAAAAACCCGAAAAATCGAACCAAACCGAAAATCAAATCAAACCGTCCAAAAAAACCGATACTTTTTAGTTTGGTTTGGTTTTGGTTTTGAATTTTAAAAACCGATCAAATTTGGTTTGGTTTGGTTTTGGTTTAATCAGAAAAAAACCGAACCAAACCGACTATAGGAGTAGCTATTTCAAATTTATTATTATACCTATAAATATGTATATTGTTATACAAAGTTTCAAAAAGTTTATGGTAAATGTTAATAGTTTGCACTTTTAATATAGTTCTTTACCTTTACATTCTAGTTTGATTGGTAGTTTTCTTTTGTTTAGTGTAAGAGTCCATTTCGTGTTAAAAATAACATATTTTTAATTGAGTCCTTAAATTATTCATCACTATTTGATTCAATTATCATCAATATATCTTGGTAAATAATAGATTTCTCAAAGGGCAATTGATTTGATAGTGTTACATTGAAAATGTGGTCGCCGGAATATGTGTTTGGTAGTGTATGTCTTATATTTAAGAAAAAAACGATAAATAACCGAAAAAACCGAAAAATCGACATAAACCGAATCGAGAAAAACCAACTTAATTGGTTTGGTTTGGTTCTAATATTTGAAAAACTGACTTACTTGGTTTGGTTGATTTTTAGGGAAAACCCGATCCAAATCGAACCATGAAGTTAAGCCTCGGGGCAGGTAGTTGGCCGGGGTGCCTCTTTTCATATTGAATAAACTTGTCAATGCATTTAAAAGTAGACTTAAATAAAGTAAACATTAGACTGGTAAATTGAATAAAGATACACAATCCTTACTCTTTGAAATTTAGCAAATGTCTGTAGGACAGTGAAGGTTGGTACTAGCCTCTTAGTAATAGAGTTTTGTTTTTTTTTTTTTTTACAGCAAATGTATTTGGAATCTAGGTTCTTTTAGCATAGATTAGCAATGGAATTTTTTTTGACAAGGAACATGTCTTCATAGGATTTACTATCCTGATGAGCTCTACCTGATCTCTGGTCATTAAATCTAATAACCAAATGGATTTTGTGTGTGTTTAAATATTGCCCCAATGCAACAACTGCTCCGCACTTGGTCAAACACCAAAAGTAACTTGCTGTTAAGTTGGCAAGTAATCAGATCGTTCAAAGAAAATAGTTCTTCCCTGAAAGGAATAGAGAGACGAAAAGAATGAATTTCTTAATGATAAAGGCAGTACGAATTTTTCCTCGCCACACCTTTTTGACACTTTGGTATGAAGCTGGTACACAACTCATGGAGGTGAAGCAATATGTACAGCTATATGACATTCAATAGCTTTATGGTGTAAATACATATTTATCCAGCTGACTTGTTACTAATTTGTTACTAATAGTTTTGCTTATCGAAAGGACAAGAGTGAGTTTGTTTGCACATCAGTAGTTCCTTCTTTATTTCAATGCACAAAAGATTCACTTTATCTTCTCTTACTGATCAATAACTTTCGCTGTTTCATGCAGTTCATTTTTGTTGTCAGTGGTGCAGATAAAATTGAGCTCAAATGGTTGAGCTGCTTTTTGATTGGCAAAGTTGATGAAAAAGAGAAACTGTTTCAAAATCAAAATAAATATACACGTAAAGGAGAAGGAATAGAGGAAACTTTAGCGTTCTTTTAATGAAAGGGATTCGACAGATCTTTTCAGGTCAGCATTTGTTATTTTGGTGCATTATGAGACTGGACCACGAGATGATTGAATAATCCAACACAATTTCCCTCCGTGACACTCCATCTAAATAACAAATAATATTATTGGGCTCGTTTGGTATGAGGTATAAGTAGATATAGTGCTGGCATAAAATTTAATACCACTTTAATACTTTTTTTGGTTAGCAAACCTGGTATAAGTTATCCGGGATTAAAATTAGTACCGGGATAACTTATAGGGGGTAGGGTAATTAGTGTCGGGATAACTTATACCTTCTTCTTAGAAATTATGCAATTGTCATTTTTAATACAACATACCAAACAGTGAATAAAAAATAATACCAGGATAACTAATCCCAACATAACTAATCTCAACCTAACTTATCGCACCATAAATAGTGTTCAAACCGAACGACCCCTTGCAGTGTTTGATGTCCATTTAAAACTACCCAAGTGATGTTCCTACCCCGCCAACAAGGCGACACTGACCACTCTATTTTCTAAAGCAACTTTGGATTCATCAAAACAAAAAGTAGTTAGTTCATCGTGATATTCATAGTTCACTGTCATCCAGAGAGGAGACGAGTGTGCCCTTCAATAGCTCCAATTTTGGTCCTCCACTTCAGATTCGCATTTTTCTGTCCTTCAAATTATTCCTAGGAGAAGGTTCAATTTGCCCTTCTATTATCACATTTTGAGTAATTTTCTCCTCTGTTATACTGTATTTGCCCTTATTAGGCACTTTGACCCTATTCCATTATTCCATAGTAGATACACAAAACAGCCTGGTACACAAAACATTTCATATTAATTATTGGGGAATCCGTGGAAAGACCACAAAGCTTCAGGAGATAAGATACATAACATATCGAATAGATAATTTTCCACATCATTAAAACCGGATTATAAAAAGTTAAACTGGATATTAAAGGGGTGATCACAAAAATCAAACTAGTACATTACTATCCAAATTGCAACTTCTTAACCACCTGACTTTCACTCAGATGCACGTCATTGAGATCTAAATATAGTAAAATACAGCAACTTACAAACAAAAAGAAAAGAATCTGTCCACTAAAGAATAAGTTGGAAAATAAACAATTTCTGGATAACGGCACAACAGATATAATTTAAAACTAAAAAAAGAAACCATTAGGTAGAAGAAGCTGATTTGTTTCTTATTTGGCTTTTATTGACGATGACGGTGGTCCCGTCCTTTCCTGCCCTCCACAACGGTTGGCTCATGCGAGTCGCACACTTGCGTCTTGAATTTACACCCTAACTTGCTCCTCCACCCTCCTCCTTTTTCTCCGCCGCCGGCACCGCCGTGTTTCCCTACCTTATCTATCTTCTGGATTGTTTTCTTCATTGTAGAGCATTCTCGTTCCAGTTCTTGTACTCGCGTCCTCATGCTATCCATATCCAAGCGTAACACCTGATTCTCTCTCACTGCGTTCCTCCACGTGCTACTACCTTCCTGTGCACGTGCCACCCCAACTACTCCTGTCGTTTCCTCTTCCTCTCCACTTTCCCTGTCCCCTTCTCCACCGTCCAAAATCGACAGCCGCGGGATTTCTCCTTGAGCAACATCGGCGACCATAAGAGTTCCAGCGATTGCTTGCCGGAGTTGAAGTTGCTCGAAGAACAGTACCTGAACTACGGCTCTAAGTGGAAGCCGTTCATTCTGAGCTGCGTGTGTACACGCTTCTAGTGTTAGCTTTTGGCAATCCATTACTCCACATATTCGCTCCCTCTCCGCCTCCGATATCCATGAATGCGCCTAATGAATTTGGTTTAACAATGTTAGAACACAAATTTATTGAAACTAAGCAAATGAATAAACTTTTTATTTCTGAAAATGTCATTAATTACCTTGAGATACACATCCACGGCTCTGTAAAGACCGTCATCAAAGAGTCTAGCTTGGTCCGGCAATGCAACAGCTAGTTCACAGAATTTTTCCGGCAACAAATTATTGTCCGAAGCAATTTCCGATAAGTAACCGTCGATTAACTTCCCGACTAACATTAACGCCGCGGATCTGACACTGTTGTTCTCTTCTTCGCCTAGAATACTAGTGGTCAATCTCTCCTCCAATCCGTTCAAAAAATATCCTAATATTCTCTCCACACAAGCGACATCATATAACGTTTCATTCAGATAAGAATAGCTCGGAATGAGTAGATCGTCCAATGTGGCTTGTTCCAGTTGAGATCCGATTTTTCTCTCCAGTGCAGCTCGAGAAGCTTCCGAAGCATTCAGTATATTCGCTGTTCTCAATAATCCGAAGAGAATCCTTGTAGCTGTTGAGGCATTTGAGCTTTTCTCTTCAGGTAGATTTGTAATTATTGTCTCCAGAAGCTCTCTCTGTTCATTCTCTGAAGGTATTGAAGAAGACGATGCCTTCCTACTCGAACGTGAAATTCCTGGAATGTACTTCTTGGCATAATACATTAGACAACTCTCGATAACCTCTGAACTCAAATCTCTACATTTCATCGCAGAAATCAGACGCTTGAACAGAGGCAAACTCAAGTGCCCTAGTTCCTCGAACCACGAATCCATACCACCGGTTCTAGAGGCACCTTTACGGCGAGTATTTGCTTCAATGGCGGCGTCATTCACTGGCCAGCCGAAGAGAGACGGATCAGCAGCAGAAGCTCTAACAGCAACGGCGTCAATGCATCTCTGAACAATGCCGAGTGTTTCTGACAACGGCAAGATGTTCTTACACGAGTTTAGTGTTTTGATGGAGTCCTTAATGCTCTTGAGCACAGTTTGTGAAAGAAACCTCTCCGTCTTGGAAATGAGGTTATCCTCAGAGTACTCTTCAGTCATCTCTAAGTACTCACCCGCACAGCGCAGTGGAGCAACATTCGATGCAGACAGCTCGATTTTCACACCATAGCAGAACTTGGCTGCCGTCTCGAATGTCTCTGAACCTCCCGGAAAATCAGGGAATGAAATACAACATTGCTGGTCCTCCTCAATCTCCTCTGCTTCTTCTTCAATCTCTTCGTCACCATCACCTGCATCGTTGTCTCGTTCAGCAGGTTTTTGGATTCTAGTGCTTGTTGCATTTGTCTCTTGCTCTGTTATCATCTCATGAAGCTTTCTACTTTTTGACATCAGAGGAAACTGAAACAACAGACAGAAACGCGCACACACAAAATAAGAAACATATGATTAGTTAATTATCTAAGCATTTCACATAGGTTACTCACCTTGTGAAGATGGAAGGTCATATCTTCAACTTCAATGATGATATCGCTAGGTAAACCTGTAGTACAAAACCTGAAAATTCAGGAAGAACAAAATCAGTGAATTAATCTGATTAAACAATAAATGAAGAAGAAGAAGAAGGAGTGACACTGTTAGTACTCACCATGCTTGGCCTTTGGAAGTGGGGTGGTCAGACGGCGCCATTTTTTCTTCAGTGTAAGGAGAAAGTGGAAACTTTAGTTAGCTAGAAGTACTAAGATAGATTCATGAAGATAAGGTGTTTGAAAGAAGGTCAGATTTTGTACTGGGGAAATGATTATATAGGTTTGAAAAAACTAAAGGAAAGAGATGATGATGAAGAAATAGATGAGTTCTCTTTTCCAAAATTTCTGTCTTTTAATTTCGTACTAACCACTTTCTTCTTTTGATGAATCAGATCAGAATCTTCTCTTCTTTTTTTTTCCTCTCTCTCTAGGGTTATATGGGTGGAGGATTCAAAAAGCAAATTAGGACTTTGAAATTCAGTTTTAAGAAAAGATATAAGGAGGATAAATTATTATCGTCATCATTATTTTAACCTTTTTCCTGCTTACAAGCACCAAAAACACGCTTTGCTTGACAACTGTTATTACTGTTTTTTTGCAATCATATTATAAAATTCAGAGTGTTTCTATTATTTGAGTGGGCCTAAGTTTAATTTGCGAACAATCACACCCGATCGCCATATAGCAAACCATATTATCCTTAATGTTTAAAGTTTGATATAATTATATTTAGTATACCTAATTATTAATTCTATACCATAAGATGTTTTAACTGCACATTAATTGTACCTTATATCACTCCTAAATTTATGGTACCGTATATTCCTCCAAATCCCCATCCCCCCACTTTTCTCTCTCCCAACCCCACATCCCACCCACGTATCACCACACACCCAGAAACCAGAAAAACCAGAAAAATAATTGAAACCCTCTGCTAAATCCAGAAAAACAATTGAAAACATCTACCATTAACGTCCAAAATCAAGGTTTTTTCTTCTACAACCAGCCAAAATTGAAGTCAAATCTTCAAAGTTGCATACACATCAATAACTTTTGATGGTTATGATTTCGGGTTCCTTCAGTAATATAAGAGGAAAGGAAAAGAGAGCAGCAATTCCACTATTGACAGCCATTAAAAAGCTTGGAAGCTTTGAATTCAAATTTGGGTTTTCAAAAATCATTATTTGTTTGGATTGGGTGTTGTCGTAAATAATTGGGAATATGGTTTGGAGTTTATATCTCAATTTTGAGGGGTTTTGGTGAAGATTAGACTTGGTTTTGGCTGAATTTCAGATTGAAATTCAAAGAAGAAGACGTATATTGCAGAAATTGTAGAAAATTGTAGATAAATTGTAAAAAAATTATAGACTGTTGTTTATTAATTTTTGAGCTTTGTGTTTTTGTGTTAAAAGTTTTGATGGGAGCTTGTTATTCCACTTCGTCTGTTTTGGAGCTAACTTGTGCAGAGGTGAAGATGTTTTTTAAGTATATATATTGCTAAAACTTTAAATTCAAGAAAGTATGGTTGTATTGTATTTAAAGAGGCGTGAATTTGTAGAATAGGTTCAATATTTCTACAAATTATCTACAAAATTTCTGTAACGACCCGGCAGGTCGTTTTTGGAATTTACGCCCCGATCCCCCATTAACTGCTTTCCCTAAGTTCATTTCTGCTATTTTGGTTTGCCGGGACGTTCGGTATTAGGATTCGGAGTGTTTGGGACACTTAGTCCCTAAATGAGAGTTTAAGAGTTGAAAAATGGTCCGTATTCGAAACAGTGTGAAGACGACCTCGGAATGGAAATCCGATGGTTCCGTTAGCTCCGTTAGGTGATTTCGGGGTTGGGAGCGTGTTCGGAATGTTATTTGGAGGTCCGTAGCTCATTTAGGCTTGAAATGCCGAAGTTTGGATTTTTGAAGTTTCCGGTCCGATAGTGAGTTTTTGATCCGAGGGTTGGATTTGAATTCTGGAAGTTGCTGTAGCTCCGTCATGTCATTTGGTATGTGTGTGCAAAATTTCAGGTCATTCGGACGAGGTTTGGTTAGATTTTTGATCGAAAGCGTATTTGGTTAGAATTTGAAGTTCTTAGGCTTGAATCCTTGATTTAATCGGGTTTCCGGTGTTGTTTGAGGTGTTTTGAGGATTGGTGCAAGTTCGAATAAGGTATTAGGTGGTATTGGTGCTTTTGGTTGAGGCCCCGGGGGCCTCGGGATGATTTCGGATGGTTAACGGGGAAATTTTCTAAGTTGTTGCAGCTGGTATGTTTTCCCTTCTGGTATTTTCGCTTCTGCGGTTTGGGTACCGCAGAAGCGGAGCCGCAGAAGCGATTTTTGGCTTCCCCTCAGAGACCGCAGAAGCGGTCATCTTTCTGCAGAAGCGGAACCGCTGGAGCGGTCATGTGTCCGCAAAAGCGGAATTTCCCCCTTTAATGAGAAACCGCAGAAGCGGTTATTTTGCCGCTTAAGCGGGACCGCAGAAGCGGTCCCTTGTCCGCAGAAGCGGAAATGTCTGGGCAGAAATAGGAAATTTCGAGGGTTAAATTTCATAAGTTTGAAAATCAATTTTGAGCTCGGGCAAGGGCGATTTTGAGAGGATTTTGGAGAGGAGATTATTGGGTAACATTTCTATGATCCTTTCTAATTATATTCTATCATTTAGTAGTTAAATCCACCTTTTAAATTCGAATTAAGGATAAAAAATGGAAGAATTTGGGTGAAAGTTCATCGACTAAACTATTGGGTTTTGAGGGAGCATTCGACCTCCGATTTCTGATATTTGTATATGGTTAGACTCTTGAGAGTACGAGGTTACTGAAAATGTGAAAATTATTCGGTTCCGAGACGTTGGCCTGAGGGGCGTTTTGGTCATTTCACCTATTTTCGCGCCTTAGCTTTAATTTCAATAGTGGAATCAGTTGTTTGCAATATTATTTACGATTTGTAATTTAATTGAATAGATTTGGGCCATTTGGAGTCGGATACTCGTGGCAAGGGCATCGTTCCCTAGTTGACTTCGCACCGGTTCGAGGTAAGTGGCTTGCCTAACCTTGTGTGGGGGACTTCGTCCCTTAGGATGTGATAATTGGTAATTGAATGCCTTGTACGTGAGGTGACGAGCACGTACTTGAGCAAATTGTTGAAACCCGGATTTTTACTTAAATACTTGATTTGGATTCTCTTTCATATTTGCCTTACTTTACTTGCTTTTATAGCCTGTGCTAGCGTAGAAGAGCATGTTTAATTGATCCAAGCTGCCTATTTGTTTAAATTGTCTTAACTGTGATTTCGTGGAGCATGTTAGGCCAGTATTATTTGATGCCTTGTATTGTTGTACTTAAATTTCTGAATAATTCGTTGATGTTGGTTGCGCATTTATATTGGGACTACGGATGCGGATTCCGGGAGTTCCCCCTTGATTGTTTACTTTGGGACTACGGGTTTGATTCCCGGGAGATCCCCCTGTACTTTTATTTTGGGACTACGGGACGGTAACCCGGGAGATTCCCCTGCACTTTTATTTTGGGACTACGGGACGGTATCCCGGGAGATCCCCCTGCACACTGATGATTGGATTACGGGACGGTATCCCGGGAGATCTTTTGATATCGATATGAGATTTGGACTACGGGACGGTATCCCGGAAGTTCCATTGGACAGTTGAAAAAGGGCTACAGGACGGTATCCTGGGAGACCCCCGTCGGTATTCTTGTAATTTTGCTGTATTTACTCTATGTTTCTGTTTTGTCTTGCAGTTCTATATTTCATTGATCTGTCTTATCACATCGCTGTGTTCATTAGTTTTCTTCAGACTTCGATACTGTTAATATTGCTATTTTATTGTTTCTGTCTCAGCAGGGTCCTGACCTTTTCCTCGTCACTACCCAACCGAGGTTAGGCTTGGCACTTACTGAGTACCGCTGTGGTGTACTCACGCCTCTTCTGCGCATGTTTTTCATGCGCAGATCCAGGTGCTTCTGAGCAGGCGTACCGCCAGTAGCTGTCAGGGAGCGTATTGGGGACTTGAGGTATACATCTGCTACGTCCGCAGATCCGCAAAGTCTCCTTCTCATTTTATCCATAGTTGTTAGATGTCATTTCGATCCCTCTTTGTATTAGACTATTCTGGTGACCAGAGCAGTGTAAGACTTCTTATAGCCTGTGTTGCCCGTGGGTTTCCGGGTCTTGGAGGTTATTTCAGTATTTTGTATTAAAGTGTATGTGCCAGGCGGCAACTGTATACATTACTCATGTTATTTAGCTTCGAATATAAATTTCGCAAATGTTGTTACTTCCACAATGTGTTAGGCTTACCTAGTCGTGAAGACTAGGTGCCGTCATGACGTGTTCACAATTGGTGAACTAGGCTCGTGACAATCCTAGAGAGGATAATTGTCCATTGGGGTATAATTATGGAGTACAGGTTGGTAAATCTGAGACTTAAGAGGATGTTAAAAGTGGAATGCAATGATAGTAGTATAGATTAGAGCATAATCTTATCAGAAAGTACAAAAGCAATTATCATGTCTTATGGTTGTAAGTTTACCTCAGTTACCAGCTGTACAGTCTTTTAGTTAGCAAGTTTATGGTTATTCAGTACGCCAGTATTCAGTTATATGTTTACCAAATATCCAATTTTCAATGTATCAAAATTTCTGGTGACGTGAGTATATAGTGATGCATATGGGTTCTCAAAGAAAACGTAAGTAACAGTGATTATAGCGAAACCTTCGCATATTTTAGGTTTGGATTAAGACCAAGACTCACCGGATGGCGCAGGAAGTGATTTATCAGATGATGGTATACTTTGAAGGATAAGTTTGTACATGGTAGTGTATTCATATGTGTTTTACCTCCTAGAACAACTTCATTTAATTTTTGAAAATGGAGCCACAAATTGGCTGATGAAAGTTCAGATGTCAGACCCTAACATTGGTAACTATAGTTTGGACAGAAAAGAGCCTAAGGGTAAAATACCTAGGAGTCAAAAAATCTTGTTATTATTAGAGATGTATTTTTCGTACAACTCATGCAAATGACTAGAAGATATGATGTATGCAATGAGAACCAAGAGCAGCCAATAGTGAATTTCATGGAACGATTTTAAGTTGTTCATATTTATTCAAATCAGAACTAGAAGTACCATGGTAGTAAGTTACTACAAAAAGCAGCTATTGATGTAAGATAAAAGATATGGCAGTTCCCCCTTAGGTTATGTGACTAAATGATTATTACCCAGGATGTTTATAGTATGATATGATTAAGTATTGTACAGAAAGTTTGGGGTTAGATATTCCAATTTCATTTAAGGCAGATGAATTCCCTAAGTGTGATCCATGCACATAGTTTACAAGAAAAAAAAAGGGATAGTATACGACCGTAGAACAGGGCCGGATGGTGAGGGAAGTTAGAATAACCTTATGCTTCACTTTAGTTATTCAAAGTAGAGCAAGAAAACATGATGGTAACAGGTGGTTAGTAAAAGAATAGTA